CAATGCGCGCAAGTCGTCTTGGAGGTCGGGCTGAGCATGGTCGGTATTAGGCTGAACCTCTTGTATCACGGGTTCGGTTTGTGTTTGAGGCATTCCGTACGGGTAACGCTCTTGGTTGGTCATAACGGGATTGCTCCCGAGATTAGGGATTGGTTGAGTCGTTGTTGATTGTCCCTTGCGCGTTGCTACCATGTCTTGATCTCAGTCGTAGAGTAAAAAGGGGCTGAAAACGTCTCTTCGGCCCCACGGTGGGCGCCAAATGTTCCTGTGTTATGAAACACACTTCAATTATCCTTGTTGTAGCGGGTCGGATCTTGGGTCTCGGTCTTCTCGTTCCTATCCGGGTAGTCCGAAGCGAGGTGGGGGGTGCCTGCAAAGACACTCCGACGCTCAAGTTAGTTCTCGGCATAATAAATGCGGTAGTTGAAAGTTAGTTACATACCTCGTTGGAGCTCTACTTATAGGTGTTCGTATTGGGCCGTGATTAAGGATTGGGCCCCGGAAAATTAGGGGGCTAATCTGATGTGTTACACTAATTAAACTATCCGTAATCAGCCTGGCAGAGGCGCTGAGATTGGCCGACCACACCAACACGTTTCACTCGTTTATACGTGGTCGGTGGGCTCGGGTGATCGGCCTCAACATCGACAGACTCGGGTATCCGGCCTAATTATTCGCGGGTTCGGGCGTTCGGCCTAGTCAGCCACCATACGATATAACATCTGTAGGTTAACTAATTTAGAACAACTTGGGCAGGCTAATTAATATAGCTATATGAACGTTTTATGTAGGTTAACTTATTTAGAACAATGTCTGGTTGTCGTGGAATGTGGATGGACAAATATGAAATACACACCTATGTTTTCTCAATGCACCTCCCCCTACCATTAACAATTTAACACCGTCTATTTTATGACACTATTCGAAAACCCTCTCTCACCTATAAACCTTGTTTGAATTTATCATCCCCTACATAATTCACTTATGGTGTGTTTGGATGAGAAATTTATATAGGGTAATTCATTTATTTGAAGAATTTCAAATTCTTTGAGGTGAAATGCTTTGTTTGGACGAGGAATTTACAAAGAATTTGAAATCCAAGCATTTGTGAAATTCCTTAAAATAGTAGAATTTCAAATTCTCCCAAAAATGGGAGAATTTGAAATTCCTCATATTTGTTTTTCTTATTTCACCTATATATTTTATCTTATCTCTTCATTCTTTTAATTATTGGATATTCAAAAATATTTTTAAAATTATTAAATATTATCTTATATTAATTTTTAAAATTATTAAATATTATCTAATATTAATTTTTAAAATTATTAAATATTTAAAAAAGGATTAATATTTATTTTTATAAAATTTAATTTAAAAATCTCAACATATAAATATTTTTTTAAAATCAATTTTACTATGATAGAATCAAATTATCATATTCAACCTAACAATTTAAAATTTAAGAAATTTGAATTGACTCATCCAAACAAAATATTTAAAGAATGATAGAAATTAAAATCAAAGTAATTCAAATACCAAGAATTTAAAATTTCTTGAATTTTTAAAATTCCTCATCCAAACACACTATTAAAGATATTTCATGGTCACCATTTTAATAAATATATAAAAAATATTGATTAAAAATTACTTAATTATTTTTACTTTATTAAAATATACCTTGATGTTATTTTTTATTTTAACTTTTTATTATTAGTTAATGATATTTTTTTCATCATTTTTCGTATTTGATTTTTGTTTTTGTCTTATTACTTGATTTTCGAAAGTTAGAAATTTTGGTAGATTGTATCAAATGTGAAAAGTGAAAACGAAAAGGGTTTTCGCTTTCGGCGGTTGGTTCTACTACGGTAGTACTTTTGGTTAGTTCTTTTTCTTACGACAGAATTACTTGAATGGGAAATCAGCCAAATATATATTTTTCCCCGTCTTAAAATAGTTATTATTTGAAGTTTTATATAACGAATTAGCGATTGAGAACTATTAGATACTCTTAATTTTACAAATATAATTTATTCAATTATATTAACAGTCTGAAATACTGAAAGATAAGAATTTAAATTAATAATTCTTTTTAATTTAAGTAAAATATTAATTTAAATAAACTAAAAACATTTTAAAACATAAAAACAGGAATTTAGTTTTTAATTCTCAATAAATTTTACAAATATTAAGTTAACCTGAATTTATCTAGACTTCTAAAAAGGATAAGACTATATATATATATATATATGTAACTAATTCAAATTTGTCTTTTAAATGCCTTGAATGTTTAGAAAAAATGCTTTGAATGTAAAATATCACTAGATTTTATCCCCTCGTTAATTAATTAACCACCGCTATTAAAAGTAAAAGAGTAGTGAGGTTATTTTAGTAAAAATATAAAAAATAATAATATAATAATGTCTAATACTCTAAGTAAAGTATTGTTAAAATTTGTTTCATTATTATTTTAATTGAAAGTAAAAAAGTAAATGAAAGGATAAGATTAAAAATAATATTAAATTAATTTTATAAATTAAAATTAATATTATTTATTATTGTTTACTCTCTCACATAATAAATACACTAAAAAGAGATATTGAATAATAAATTGAATTAATCATCTATACATTATTAATGTAAAGTTTTTTATACTAATAATTAATCATATTTTTTAAATTATTTTATTTTATTTTTATTTTATTAAATAAATAAATAATATGATACTATTAAAAAATATAATTAATTGTTAGTATAATTTTTTTTTACACTGACAGTGTATAAATGATTACTCAAGTTTAGTAATTATTAAAGTGTGACTAAAGACACACATTAGAAAAACTGTAAACATGTGTGTAAAACGTTTGCCCCCTTTTTTTTTTTCTTTCTCGAAAAGCATTTATTGAGACTTGAAACTTTTAATGACTCTTAAAACTTTAAGTTTGTCTTCTTCTCTCTCTATTTATTTTTTTAGAAAAATTTAATGACTCTTAAAACATTTAATAGCTCTTAATAATATTACTCTCACCCCATTCTACAACAATGATTACAGCATTAGTGTAATACATTAATTATATTTTTTTAATTTATCCTTTCATAAATTATTTAACTATCATAATTAAAAGTAATGAATTTATAAATTAAAAAAAAATGGACTATGTTAGTAAACTTGTATAAAAAATAATATATTTATTGTTGTCCTTATGTGTAAAAATCTTAAACTGCAATCTTCTTGGAACAAAGTGACTAATAAATTAAAAAAATTAAGTTTAAGAGTGATGCACTTGTAAAAAAATTTACACAACCAACCGATCAAAAATCATTATTTTATATAATATTTTTAGATATATAATTATTATAAATATCAATAATCATTTATGGTAAATTATGATTGAACAATTGTATAAAATTATCTTCCTATATAAGGTTAAACCCTTAAAATAATTTTGATCTAATCATATAGTAACTATTATTCCTTCTATTTCAAAATAAGTGCCATTTGAAATTATTTTACACATATAAAAAAAGTTAATAAATAGATAAAAAGAAAATTATAAAAATAATCTTATAAGCAAAAATGATGTGTGTTTGTACATGATATTAATTATTAGAGTAACATATTTATGAAAACATGTAGGGTTTGGTATGAAATTTAATTAAGTAAAGCGTCGACGTTTTGCAAAAGGAAAATATCTAGGAAGAGGTAGAAGATGAAAGTGTGTATATATATAAGTCCCCATGACAGTCCCCTGAACTTAGGAACCAGAACCACATTTGTACTCTTGATCTTCATAAGAATCGATATAGCCACGTAAGAGACACGATGGATTGGCTCCAAACCATTATAGTGATGATGATGGTAACACTACCACTGGTACTCGTGTTGGGAAGACGTGGAAAAGCCCCATATCCGCCAGGACCAAAAGGGTTACCCATAATAGGAAACATGCTAATCATGGACCAACTAACCCACCGGGGCCTCGCCACGCTGGCAAAACAATACGGCGGCGTTTTCCACCTCCGCATGGGCTTCCTCCACATGGTCGCCATCTCGGAGCCCGAGGCCGCGCGCCAAGTGCTCCAAGTCCAAGACAACGTCTTCTCCAACCGCCCCGCCACCATCGCCATCAGCTACCTCACCTACGACCGCGCCGACATGGCCTTCGCCCACTACGGCCCCTTCTGGCGCCAGATGCGCAAACTCTGCGTCATCAAGCTCTTCAGCCGCAAGCGCGCCGAGTCCTGGCGCTCCGTCCGGGAGGAGGTCGACGTCGCCGTCCGCTCCGTCGCCTCCTCCGCCGGAAAACCAGTCAACATCGGGGAACTGGTTTTCAACCTGACCAAGAACATTATCTACCGCGCGGCGTTCGGGTCGAGCTCGCAGGAGGGGCAAGACGAGTTCATTGGGATATTGCAGGAGTTCTCGAAGCTCTTCGGAGCGTTTAACATCGCAGACTTCATTCCTTTTCTTGGGCGCGTGGACCCGCAGGGGCTGAACGCGCGTCTCGCTAGGGCACGTGTCGCGCTCGATAGCTTCATTGATAAGATCATCGACGAGCATGTGCAGAAGAGCGATAAGAGAGACGATGGAGAGACGGACATGGTGGATGAGTTGCTCGCGTTTTACTCCGAAGAGGCCAAGTTGAACAATGAATCCGAGGATTTGCAGAACTCTATCAGACTCACTAAGGATAACATCAAGGCTATCATTATGGTATCGATTCCTTTTCAAATATTTCTTATTCTTTCATCAACCCTATTATATTTCATCGAGCTACCCTTTACGCATGTTTCACTATATCATCAAGAGTAACAAAGAAACCACGAACAAATACTATACCTCAATCATTCCATACCTTTCAGTTTAATTATATGTGTGTTTCGATTATATATATTTTTCTACTTTAATTGTTAAAGGCTTCAAGCTTTTTTAATCCAAGAAGATTAAGATCTATGAAGTTAATTTATGGATGATGTAGAAAAATTGCCTGTAGAATTAATCTTTTCAGAATTTTATTTGTTTCACATTTAATATTTATTTTGTTTTCTCTGTGTTTTTAAAAAAATATCCAGAATCAAGCTTATTATATTATTTCTCTCGTTCTTCACCATAGAAAAAGTGTCAGCACGTTTGATCTTGCGGTGAATATGTACAAAAATATTCACTTTTGTTGTATATATATTTTTAAGATATAATAATTTAAATTTCTAGTATATTTTCTTTAAAGGATGGTTTATGTTGTTTTTTAACTTTAATTTTAAAATTTTGAATTTATATTTTTAAATTACTTAATTATAGCCAAAAAAATACTTAATTATATATTTAAATTTAAATATCTATGTATATCATCTGAAATATTTACTAGTTATATAAGTATTTGCATGTGTCTCAGTCATGTTAATAATATATTTCTTTGTATGCGAAGTTTGTTTTTGTCAAAATTTGATTTACATGTCTAAGTTAGAAATTTCCTATTCAAGAATTTTCTCCGATTAGATAAGCACGTAATACTAAATAAAGATCAAGGTATCATTTCTACGACACTCAAGTGGTCCATTTTTTACTTATCAAACTGAGTTGAATTCATTTACAAACATACCCCCTCCATAATCATTTTTATGTTTTAATTTTTTTTATATATTTTAAGTGATATTAATTTTTTTTCTCACTTATATCGTTATGTTATGTGACAATTAATATCCTTATTTTATAATCATAATTTTTCTTACTCTACATATTATAATATTATAAGATATTATATGAGAATATTTTAGATTTAACACACGATTCTTAAGGAATGAAAAATATTAAACATAAGAATAAAAATATTATGCAGAGGGAATAATAAATATTATTAAAAAAAATGTCTCCAAACCAATTATGATTACTTGTGCTGAAATTAAAAAAGTGAATGCAATTTTACTATAGTTATTGTGAATACTGAATATGGGGTTAACTATAGATGAAGAAAAAAAGCAATCGATAAGGTTGAGAATAGGAATGGGGTGCGAACATAAGCCACCAAACATGCAATGACGATCCCAACGTCTTCATAGTGGGTTCGGGTTGGTGTCATTTCTCCGTCCATTTTTTTTTTTTTTTTTCTTACTTTCAATTAAGATTTGATTTGGAAAGCGAAGAATTCAACGATAGAATATTTTTGTACCGTAAGAAGGTGGTTAAATAAATAAGAAATTGATTGATATTATTGTTAATGATTGTGCGTTAACATTACAGGACGTAATGTTCGGAGGCACGGAAACGGTGGCGTCAGCGATCGAATGGGCCATGTCGGAGCTAATGAGAAGCCCAGAAGAGCTAAAGCGGGTCCAACAAGAGCTGGCGGACGTAGTGGGCCTGGACCGTCGGGTCGAAGAGTCCGATTTCGAGAAACTGACGTACCTCAAATGCGCCCTCAAAGAGACCCTCCGCCTCCACCCGCCGATCCCGCTCCTCCTCCACGAGACGGCGGAGGACGCGACGGTGGCCGGGTATTTGGTTCCGAAGAAGGCGCGCGTGATGATAAACGCGTGGGCCATTGGGAGGGACAAGAACAGCTGGGAGGAAGCGGAAAGTTTCAAACCGGGGCGGTTCCTGAAACCGGGCGTGGCAGATTTCAAAGGCAGCAACTTCGAGTTCATTCCATTCGGGTCGGGTCGGAGGTCCTGCCCCGGAATGCAGTTGGGGCTGTACGCGCTGGAGTTGGCGGTGGGTCACCTTCTCCACTGCTTCACGTGGGAATTGCCAGATGGGATGAAACCTAGTGAGATGGACATGGCTGACGTGTTCGGCCTCACCGCTCCAAGGGCCACGCGCCTCGTTGCCGTGCCAACCAAGCGCCTCCTATGCCCTCTCCTTTAATTCAACTAAAACAACAACAATTCCATTTCGACCCCTTTTTTTCTTCTTCTTTTTATCCCCCAATTATACATAATCATAAATAACATAAAGGGAAACACAAAATAAAAATGTGCCTGCCTGCATTTACTATTTAGTTCTCTCTATTTGGAAAAAAAAAAAAAAAAAAAACTGTTCTTGATGTGAGCTTTTGTGGAGAAACATTTATGTATGTATTTTGTTTCTTTTTGCTCCAGTTCCGTTTTGATTCTTATCTATGTTTTGAAATAATAGCGAATCGGCCATTAAAAGAGTGGGTGGCATTGATAATAATTAGTGTGAGAAATTTAGTTTCATTTTTGTCTTGGATGCGACAGTGTGTGAATTTATTTTTGGTGAGAGGAGGATTTGACATCAAATCACGTATTTAATTAGCAGCGGTAGTATTGTTTTCGAAGTAAGTGGATTCTAGAGGTGCGAATGAAGTGGATGACTTTGGAGTGTGAACCAAAAATGTAGCTAGCAGAAATGAACAACGAGTGTCCTAAAAATCAACGTCGCACAAGGTTGAGTTGTCCTGAAAGAAAATATAATGATAATGCAATCCGCGCCGTAAATTTCTAATTGAGTACGTTTGCATGTCGCAATGGCAAGGGCATTTTAATTGCTGTGCCTATACATAGCAAGAATGCATGCTCACCAGAAAATAACTTTTTTTTTTTTCTATACGTGCATGTTTTAATAAAACTTATCTAATGCAGTTAGATTTGGTCAAGTAGAAGTGGCGTAATCTGTTTTGTATACGAAAATGCATAATATAAGTGAATTGATAAACGTGGAAAAGTATACATTTGAAGGCGTATATGTAATGGCGTCTAATAGAAACAGAAAGATGAGGAGTGTTGAAAGGAACGTGAAGCCTTTCTTTGATTTTGTTCAAATTCAATGTCACAAGTTAAAGAGTGAAAGTGACCCTTCTTTTGTATCCGTAAGCTTAGTCAACTGAGGAGCCCTAAGCTTTAAGTATTTTACTTGGTGATGCTAATGCTACGACCAAAACAATAAACTACTTTGTCAATTGTGATGCATGCCATTGCCAAGTGCCAACACTGATTGCTCTTATATTTAAGGTCCATTTGTTTGACTAATTTGCTTTTGAGAAAGAATAATCTAGCATTCCTTTTGGTCAGCGTGAATACTCCAAGTTTCAGACATTACAATCTCAAATGAGTTAAATCAGCAGATTACCATTTGACATATGTGTCTGGTTAATTAACGTGTGCAGTTAGTATTCATTAGTTTACTAGATTGTCACATATAATTATTTTCAACTTCCTTTCTCAATCTTTTTTATTTGCTGACCAAAATATTAAAAAGCAGGAAAACAATTAAGCTGATATTTTCAATTGTCGGTGGCATTCACACTTATTTTACTCGAATTTCAAAGCTAATCCAAGGACAATTTTTGTCCAAACACTTGCACCCCACACTATGAATTGATTTAGCTTGGAATTAATCATTCAGAAAGGACATTTATCCAACATTTTAGTCCCACATATTTAAAAATGATAGTACTCTTTCCGGAAGAGAATCACTATAGTTTTAGTATTTTTTCTGGATTTATATTAAGTAAAAAAAAATTAAATTAAAATATAAATAAATTTCAATTAAGTTAATTTTATTTAATATTTTTAATTAATCTAAGCATATCCTTAATACAATTAATGAGAGTACCATCTACTATAAATGTTATTGAGGACATTAATGTAGTGTATATTTTATATGAAATTGTAAAAAATAAATGTATTGAATTTAATTAACTTCTTTAACATGTGTGAATTGATTTTTTTTACTTATATATAAATTTAGATAAAGTATTTGATATTTTCAATTTTAAGATAATAATTATTATTTTTTCTTGATTTGTTATCTCAAATTTTTTAACTACGACATTTAAAAATAGTGTATTTATTAAAATAGAATAGCTGTTTTAGTAAAATTGTAACATAAAATAATATGTTTATTATTACTTTTTAATATGCGGAAAAATACAGCCCACAAGTAAAGGGATGAGTTACAATGTAGATGAAAAGGTGTTAGGATAATGATTTGTGAAGAATGGGGCGATAAATAGATGTGTTTATTGTTGGGGAGTTTTTAATATCGAGAGAGCATCTCACAATGAGTAGTGAGTAAGTCACACAAGTGAGCTTGATACCACAACATATCCTAAAATCTTAAGGCATTAGGTAGGTGAGTCTTTTTCACTTATATATTACTTAACATGTCCGACTCTAACTGTTCCTACCATAAGTCCGCTATCATCGTTAGGGTCACCGCATCCGAGGTATTGTCCGCTTTGGCGCTCGTTGGGCCGTCACGCTTTTGGCCTTGAAAAGGCGTCTCGGTGGGTTCAGGAGGAAGATTGTTTATAAACTACCCTTAGCCTAGACTCCTAAGCGATGTGGGACTTTTTAGGCATACCGGAACAAGCCCCCCAGTTGATGCTAAGGGGCAGCAAGAGTGGCCTGGGCCCTCCTTCTAGCACCAAATGTACTTACACGAATCAGGTTGGATGCCTAACTCAGATAAGTCATCTTCTTTGCTCTGGTTTACCCGAGATGATATGAGATCGGTTGCGGGGACGAGTTCCTTCTCTCTGGTCTCCTTGTTCGAGCACCTCGGATGTACCTGCAAAAAGGACTCCGACGATCAAGTTAGTTCGTGGCCCCTCTTTCATGTATTGCTTATAACATTACCTATGGTGGGTTTTCGGAGTAACCGTGTAACTGCTGTATGGTTCTCTTCTGGAGGTGGTTGAATTGTGTATGACGTTGTCAACATGCCGAGGTGTCTTGCTGATGTCTCCCCATCCGATGTGACATGTCAGCATTTCATGGTTTTATTCCAGTTTGCTTAAGGGAAGTGGCGAAAGAAGAGAAGCTGTTAAAATGGAAACTCAGAAATTGTTGAATGCAGGGTTCATCAAAGAAATCAAATATACCACGTGGCTAGCCAATGTCGTGATGGTCAAAAAATCTAATGGTAAGTGGCGTATGTGTGTTGATTATACAGATTTGAACAAAGCCTGTCCAAAGGATGCATATCCCCTACCCAGCATTGACAGATTGGTGGATGGAGCTTCTGGTTATGCTATGCTAAGCTTTCTGGATGCCTACTCAGGCTACAATCAGATTCTCATGTATCCCCCAGATGAAGAATACACTGCTTTTATCACAGAACAAGCCAAATACTGCTATCACGTCATGCCATTTGGACTCAAGAATGCTGGAGCAACATATCAGAGATTAATGGATAAGGTCTTTGCTGAACAAATTGGTCGCAACCTTGAGGTTTACGTTGATGACATGGTCATCAAAACGAAGTCAGCCACTGATCATGTCCGAGATCTCGAAGAGATCCTCCAACAAGTCAGAAAGTACAATATGAGACTAAATCCTGAAAAATGTGTCTTCGGAGTTCAAGGCGGAAAATTCTTAGGCTTTATGATCACTTGTCGAGGGATAGAAGCAAATCCAGACAAATGTCAAGCATTGATTAATATGAGGAGTCCGCAAAGTCATAAAGAAGTACAAAGATTGGCGGGGAGGCTTGCCAGTTTATCTCGGTTCATCCCCAAGATGGCAGAAAAGACCAAACCTATTTTTAACCTGCTCAAAAAACCAAAATATTTTCATTGGGATGACCGATGTGAACAAGCATTCTCCGATTTCAAGCACTTTTTATCTTCACCTCCTATTCTGAACAAGCTGCAGGCTCATGCCGATCTTTTGTTGTATCTTGTTGTGGCTGACAATGCAATCAGTGCGGCACTTATGGAATCTGACGGTAACAAACAAATTCTTATTTATTTTATCAGTCGTGTTTTGCAGGCTACCGAGCAGAGGTATCAAACTATTGAGAAGTTGGTTCTTGCCTTAGTAACTTCAGCTCGACGACTTCGGCCTTATTTTCAGAGTCATCAGATCGTGCTCAAGACCGACTATCCCATCAAAAAGATACTTCGAAAGCCCGATCTCGCAGGTCGGATGACAGCTTGGTCGATCGAGCTCTCTGAATACGGAATTAAGTATGAAAGTCAAGGAGCGTTGAAGGCCCAATGTCTTACTGATTTCATAGCCGAGCTCACACCCAGCGGTTTCTCAGAAGATCCATCTTGGATTTTACATGTTGATGGTTCATCTAATACCAAAGGCAGTGGTGCTGGAATCATCCTTGAAGGTCCTAATGATATGATGCTTGAGCTTGCAATCAAGTTTGATTTCCGAGCCACTAACAACCAAGAAGAATATGAAGCTTTGCTTGCAGGATTGAGATTGGCCAAAGATGTTGGCATTAAGAGGCTCAGATGTTGTACTGACTCCAAATTAATTACAGAGCAAGTCGGAGAAAGTTATCAAACAAAAGAACCACAGCTCCAAAGGTATAACCTCATGGTATCTCATTTAACCTCATCCTTTGACCATTTTCAAATTGAACACATTCCACGAGCACAAAATGTTAGAGCCGACTTGCTATCCAAGCTAGCCAGTACTAAACGTCCAGGACAACATAAAACAATTATTCAAGAAACAATCAGTATTCCCAGCTATGACTCTGTAGCAATATTGGCCAACACCCCTGGTCAGTCAAGTTGGATGACTAGCATTTGGCAATACCTTGCCGTTGGAACTTTACCAAGTAACAAAGTGGAAGCTTCAAAAATCAAAGCCAAAGCTTGTCATTTCACAATCGAAGCAGGTGAATTGTTCAAGAGAGGATTCTCAATACCCCTTTTAAAATGTCTTGACCCAGATCAGGCTGAGTACGTGATGAGCGAGATCCATCGGGGCATCTATGGCATGCACTCTAGAGCTCGGTCCATGGCAGCAAGAGTAGTCCGAGCTGGCTACTATTGGCCGACTATGAGATCAGATTGTAAGGCATTTGTACAAAAATGTGAAGCTTGTCAGAAATTTCGCAACTTACATCAGCTACCTGCAACAGCACTTCACTCCATGCAGTCAGCATGGCCTTTTGCATGGTGGGGCATGGACATACTTGGTCCCTTCCCAATTGCCAAAGGCCAATTGAAATTCTTAATTGTAGGGATTGATTACTTCACAAAATGGATCGAAGCTGAACCTTTAGTGAGAATTACAGTAATTAATGTGCAACGGTTCACGTGAAAGAAAATCATCTGCAGGTATGGCCTACCTCAAGCAATCACCACAGATAATGGCAAGCAATTTGTAGACAAAAATTTTGAACAATTTTTGACGCAACTTGGGATCAATCACAAAGTCACCTCGG